GGGGGGGGGGGGGGGGGGGGGGGGGGGGGGGGGGGGGGGGGGGGGGGGGGGGGGGGGGGGGGGGGGGGGGGGGGGGAAAAAGGAACGTATGAGCAAAATTTTTTTTCACATGAAGAAATTTTTTTTTTTTTGCTCATTTATTCACTTACCCAACATCTAACACGTTTGCACTCCCTTGATCCAAAAGGTCGTTGATTGGCGCAGAAAAATTGCTTTTCCAAATATATCTGAATAAGAAATGCTGTAATTGAAGCCTATCAACTAAGGTAGGGAATAAAAAAATTAAAGTATTTATTTTGTGTGCATCACTAAAACGCTCTAGCGGCATACCACAGATTTTCACACTAACCTTCTTCATTGTCATTTGGCAAGAAGTATATTGAATTTTCGTTATTATGAAACCTTCTACCATTAAAGTATCGAAATTGAGAAGAATATTTTGTTGTCGTTGAGGTTTCCAAACTTTTACGTGAACATTTCGAAATTAAATGATTTCTCGAATGAAAATGGCCCATAGATATAAAAATTGTGAGGAAAAGTTTATAAGATGAAGAAGGAAAAGGAAAGAAAAGGACAGGTACTTCATTTTTATTTGTAAAATGGCTCCTATAGCAATGAAACGTGTCATCCCTAGAAAATGGTGTTTGTAACGCAATCGATCATCAATACCAAATCAATAAATAAATGGAGCCGAGTAATTAAAATTTGGTAGGGAATTATGATCTCTGTTTATTTTATTAAAATATTTTGTTTATTTAACGATAAAAACTATATTGTATATAAAAAAAAAAGGTCCTTTCATTTATTTAAAAAAGCAGGATTTATGGACATCTCGTGATATTGCTTGTTTATTTTGAAGAGAGCGAGAAGAGTTACGAATTATGGAAAATGAAAGGTCTATATGGTTATTGTTTATTAGTGATTTTAATCTGAATATTTTATTTCACAAGATTTTTATTTTACGGGATTAGAGTGCAATTTATGACGATCGATACATATTTGATATTGTTTGTAGAAATCAAAATCCTTAAAAATATTTAATGCATATATGTGTACAATCCCAAAAGTAAAGTTATTTGTTTATAATGATTTTTAAAAAAATATAATAATTATGCATTGAATTTTATATTGTAAATTATGTTTTAAATCATTTTTTTTTTTTTTGAATAATTTCGAAATAATTTAACATTATAAGAAGAACCAATCTTAAGAAGGTCCCGTTAACTTTGAAATTCCATAACCCTATAATGAAATGCATGCTTGTAATACGTGTTAAAAATGACTCAGAGGTTGGCGATTTCAAATATTTGATAAATCGCCATTTATTTTAGATAAGCGAATTTCTTATCTAAAAAAAAAAAAAATATATACTGTACATGTGTTTTATTCAACTCCTTAAAACTTAAATTTTTTTAAACAATTGCTTTTCTGAGTCTTCCCAATGACGAATTTCATAGAATTTTCCTACTTCTACGCATCTCTATCAACTTTTGATTTTTCATATGGCTACACGAAATTGTCTTAATGAACTTTTTAATAAGTAAGATTTCCCAGCCTAGTATGGTTCTTTCTTAAAGAAAGAAAGAAAAAAAAAAAGAACAAATAAATAATAAACACTCAATCATTGACGCGATATGAGAAAAATTCTTTTTTTGGCCATTACACAAATATGTTCATATTTATTTGTAAATGTATGTAAAAATTAATTAAGAAAAATCATTTGGACGCCATTGACGGATAAATCATACAAATCACATCCGATGTTTAATTTAAAGATCTTCCGATCACAGAATTGGAAAAATTACGTTAGTGTTATTGTCACACATCAAATTTGTGATTTTAAATTTTATGAATGTATTTCTTAAATTTTTCCATCAATTGTACATTGATATTTTTTTTTTTTACTGCAAGTGAAACACTATAATAAAATTATTTAATTCTTGTATTTCTTTAAAGTGTTTGATCAAAACCTTGAATTTTATCTTTGTACAAATTCACTTTGTCTGACATAGATATACCGTGTGACTCACCAAAATAATAAAATGTAAAGACATTTTCACACTATGTTTGCATGTACAAATAATGGACTGTGCCACAAATCAGTTTTTTTAAAAAAAAAATGATTATCATTCATCATTAGAATATTTTATGCATAAACTTTAAATCTTTTTTTTTTTGTTTTCATACTTTTACTAAATAATCAAAGAAGTAAAATCCATTTATCAACCTAAACCTCATTTTGTTAGAGTTTTTTTCCAGGTTCTGGACATTCAATTGTTCTATTCGTAACCAATCAATTTTATCAACAAAATTTGAGTATTTATTTTTAATATGTCGAAACGGTTAAAACGCCTTCGTCAAAGATAACCTATAAATAAACCGAATGCGATTCGTACAACATTATAATAATTAAACCCGAAATTGGTGAAAAATTTTTGACAGCAAAATATTTGAACTTTTGTCAACAAAGGGAGCCCTTACATATATTCCGTAACACAGGCCTTCGGAAAGGGATATCATAATGGAGTCGATTTTGGAATGGTGTAATCGAGCGATCTTATACATATTGGTTGGAATTTTTACCGTGGTAAGTAATTGTATCAATATCCTACACAAACATATTATATACTTTACCATTTAACGTTAATAGCGAAACTAACCATATACAGAATCAAGTTTGAGATGAAAAAAAAATAAGGAAGTACAAAAGGTGATTGGTCGATTTGACATAATACAAGTTGAATTGAAAAAAGATCTTTTGCAATTGTCTTTGAGATTTACCGATGATGTGATATGAAATCTTGTGTATCAATTTGCATTGTATTATCATCTGTTATTTTCGCTCGAATTTTTAATCTACTTTATGTATATCGGTATTGTACGTATATCGGTATATCGAAATTGTATGCTTATAGCTAGATGTACAATACAACGACGATAATTGGTAGCATCAAAAAATATTATTTCCTTGGAAATATCTTTTAGGTAAATATTTACTTTGATAGCCGGATGAATTGATACTAAGTAAAGTTACCATTTCCTGCATGAAGATGCCTTATGATAAGGTTACGACTTCATCAAGCAAAGCCTAAAGAAATATCCCTCGTGCACTATTAATATCTCTATCTATTTTTATACCATAATTCTTGCATTTGTATATTTCTGATCTTCCAATATACTGAACGTGTTCAAACCAATTACATGTCTTTGGTGCGTAAGCTTCATTTTGAATTATCACATGGATTCCCTTCTCTTCTGATTTTTGAAATCAAAACTTGTAATAAGACCAACAAAGCATCTTTCTAATTGGTTTTCTTATTATTTTTTTTGTGTTTTTTATTTACCATATCTGAAACCAACTTGATTGTTTTTATCCTGATCTTTCATCACATATGAAAACTAGTTTTGTTAACACTTAATGCTTTTGTTTTGAGAATAAAAATATCAGTCTATCTTTTTTTGATATAAAATTATCCATGCATTTACATAAATAAAAAATACAACTTAAATTATATTCTTTTATCTTACCTGCACTTTTTGTTAAAAAAAAAACTAATATGAAATACAAATATAAATTTTCTCTTGTATTTCATAAATCTGTTTTATATTTTATATTCTAATGAAATACCTATTTATTATTTACATATATATGTAAGTTACAATCTTTTATATATATAAATACTAATCATACTTTTTACTTTTAATTTATTAAATTTATATTTTTTTGATGATAAATTGATGAATTATAAAAAAATATGTAATATAAAAATGATTCTAATCTTTTTTGAAAAGTATTATATACAAATAGTTATTGTTTATTATAAATCTTTTTAGATTTAGATGATAAAGATAATCTTTTAGTTTTTTGATTCTTTTAAATAACATTTTCTTTAATTGATTAAATAACTTTTGATCTAATTATTAGATTTTAATATAAATATTACTAATAAATCATTTCATTAAGAGCTTCTAATAAATATAAATATGATCTCATTGAATTAATAGTAGATAAGATATTTTAAAAAAACCAAAAAATAATTTTGCAAATCACTACCAAATAAAATTATAATTTCTTAATCATATACTTAATAATCAATCAATCAAAATTAAAAAAAAAATAATAAAAATGATAATATATTTTATATAAAATTTGCATATATTTTTCATTATTATAAATAAGTTTTGTATATATTTTTAAAATTCTGTATTACATTTTCTTATAAAAATTATATTTTATTACATTAAAATTATAAGATTTCTATAATAAAATTATACATTTTCTAATAAATTAATCTTTTTTTACAATTGATTTATATTAAGATGTAATTATAAACTATATTGTATAATTAGTTAGACTATACTATATGAAACATATATTAGATATGTATAATAGTCTAAAAAAGTATTTGTGATTTTGTAATTTTATAATAAATTAAGTTTAAATTCAATTAAACAATTAATTAAATATTTTTAATAAATTTTTAAAACTTTATTATCAATTATATATATTTACTTTATTCAATAAGAACATAAAAATATATTTTAATATTTCATATGTTCACCTTTTACTTCAATTATCATTTCAACTTGCTTAGTATACTAATAATCAAATTATATAAAGTATTAGACTTCAATTTACTCTACTCTTCTTTTAAGACTATTTTTAATTGTTGTACTATTTTTGTAAATAGTTTACATTATTGATATTTATTTTTTAAAATTTTTTAAGTTTTTTATTAAATTAAGATCTAATAATTGAACTGATCAAAGCATTGATTTAATCTTATTCTTTTCTTTCTATTTACAAGTTTTTTTACTAGTATAAATTTTGGCATTATTATCTTAAAAAATAAGAGTAATGTCAAATTTAGTTTATATAGTAATTTTAAATTTCTTAAGATGATCATTAAGAATTTTTATATAGTCATCAGAATTCATGATCCTTCTTCACAAATTACTAATGATCTCAATTTATTACTTATGAAATAACTCTAACTATAATAAATTTACATCTACTTTTAAAAGTAGGTCTTAAATAGTTTAAATTATACTATTTACTAACTTTTCTTCATACTAATTCATATTAAACTTTTACTAATTTTTACATTTGACTAATAAGACTAGATAATATTATTCTATTTAATATATTTTAATTAATATATTTTTTATATTAAATAAGTTATTTCTTTTAATTTTCATTTGAAATGAATGGTTTTTTAACTATTATATGAGATTTAATATCAGCTTCATAAAAATATTGCTAGCTGTTATTGTTGAAACATTTAAACTAATATTGGCTATTAGTTTCTATAAAGAAGTCTATTTATTTCTTATTACTTTACGAATAAGTAATTATTTTTACTATTATGTAGCTATAAAAGATTATTCAAATTGTGATAAATTTTCAATATTTCCTATTTTTATATTTTTTAATAAATAAATGAACTATATTATCAGGTATTTTCATTTGTCTTACAATTTGAGCATTTTTAAATTATTATTTAACAAAGTAACA